GCTCCTATAGTTTTGATTTGTCAAATTTCAGTCTTTCAATCTTCAATCTCAATCTTCAATGCGTATAGGCTACAAATAAGAATTTATTAATGCAATTTAATAATGAAAATCAAATTATATTGTGAAATCCTGGAAGTAAGTAAAATATATTTTACTTCGATCGATTATAATTTACGATGAAGTACAATAAAGGTTTTTTCGTCATGTTGCGTATGAAGTCCTGTTAAAGTGTAATAACTGTATAGTATTCTTTGATAAATCAATTTGTTTGCAAAATATTTATCTTTAAACATAATTATAATGAATTGAATATAATGTATTGATTGCATTTATTTGCACAAAACATTTAATATTAGACGTTATTGACCTTGTTTACGGGAACACTTGATACGCTTATTAACTAGTAAGTGTCTATTAAATTATCTTAATTTCGGCAATGCATAAGGAATGGTGTACTACTCCCGTACAATATGTATCAAAATGATTAATTAAATTAGTCATATCATGTATATGTTTACATGTTTCGCTAAATTTAAGATAATATAATAGAAAGTTTACTAGCTAGTACATATATTAAGTGCTTGTTTTGTACGCTCTGCCATTTTCCTCCAGCTAGGTTGTTCAAAAATGTGCACACCAGAGAGAGTACCTTATCCCTACCATTTCACTCACACAGACTCCTAGCAATCACCCGCAAGGTGAAGTTTCTGAACGCAGCCCTAGACTCTCATTATAGGGACTAGACTACTAGAGGTGGAAAATTATCGATAGCGACTATCGATAAATAGATAGGCTTAACCTTAATTCGATATCTCGATAGTTTCCTTTTACTATCAATATTCTACGATAGTCGCGCAAAAATGTAGAAAATAGAGATCCTAGGGTCACTAGCATAAACATCTAAGGACTCTAATTAGTAACTACAGTAACTCTATAGGGTGCGTTCCGATTCCGATATTCACTGCCAGTGCTGAAAATCTATAGTATACGTAATATATACTATAGATTTTCAGTACTGGCAGTGAATTTTGGAACGCATCCATAGTTGACATGTAGAGCAGATACATACTTAAATGTATGGAAATAATCAAATTATAATATTTATGTTTAACATTTTTATTTTATATTATTTTAATAAAGTAAGTAAATAAATAATTTTTTATTTAATATAGTTTTGTATAATCTAAGTTTGCTTTGCATACACAGTCGATGTCCTTAAAATGAGCAGGTTATGTTTAAAATGTTTTTAATCGATAATGTAAAAAATCCAATGGAATTTATTCAAGTTTTTGGCGGTTTTAGCCTACAATGTAATAATTCCGATAGTACTATCGATATATCGATATTTTATTTTTCAAAATATCGAATAATCGATAGTAACCACTATCGATAATTTTCCACCTCTTTGGGGCCACTTTCACCATCGTCGGTTTACTTAACCAGCTTAGTAACTGTAATGAAATAGAAAGAGATAGAACTATTTCTATCTCTTTCTATTTCATTACGGTTACTAGGCTGGTTAAGTAAACTGACGATGGTGAAAGTGGCCCTAATAGGGACTCTAGCCATTACAGGCGGTTAGACCCAAAGACAGAGAATGGACTGCGCGATCCGTATCTAATGGCGAATTCGATTGATGTGCACTCACTCGATGTTGCTCGGTGCCAGTGACTAGTAACTTTTGCACTAGTGCCGAAATGGTGTGGTGTATGCGATTCGAGTGTTGTTTTACTTGCCTTGATTTAGATTCAGTGCTCCTAGTAACTTAACTCTCTCACTGCCCCGAATCAATGCTAATCAATGCACTACTCTGAATCAGTGCTAACCAATTCGATTGGCTTCACTTCTGAGCAAAGAGTTCGGCTATAAAAATGGTATTGTTTGCGAATTCGATTACGAAACGATAAGTTATATTAATGAATTACATGTATTTTTATTTTTACCTAAATACCGATATATCTTACATGAAATTCTTAATTGTTAATTGTTAATTGTTAATTGTTTAAAAATTTCTGAATTTTTATATAATAATTGTAATTTATTAAATGTTTCTCTCTTTAGACGAAGGTGTCGCTGAAACTACAATAAATATATTAATTAGATTATATAATATATATGGCGAATTCGATTGGATGCACTAGTGCGCACTAGTACATCCTTGTTGCTTGCCAACGTTAAACGAGAGTGAAGAATCTGTATTACACTGTGTCCTTACTGAAGAATACCCTTATAGTTTGATTATAGATTTGTTTGCGTCGCATGCTCCAATATGCTCCTGCCAATATGGTAGTTCCTACTCACTCTAATGAGCGCATTGGAGTGAGTAGGAGCTATGATAGGAGCATATTGGAGCATGTTGGAGCAAGCGACGCGAACAAACCTTATATTTTTCTATATGTGAATACCATTTTCCAATTTTGCGACGTTTCACACATGTTAATGTGATGTTTATGCCGCAAACAATTGATAAAACAAATATTAAAAATTAAAATTGATCTTACACTGAGAGAAAAATGTTTGGTATTTGTAACTATAATTACATATCACTATAATTATGATTATTACTGCTATAATAATAATAACAGTAACTATGTATATGGTTCTACCAACAAATGTATATAGTTGGTAACTTAAAATGACTATAATTATAATTGTTATAACCATAAAATATTAGGTGTTAATTCTGAATATTGACTCGACGCATATCAGTATTTATGTATATTGCCTTACTAGAAATAGGTAAAAGTGCCAATATATGTCAAGTCGATGCCTAGAATTATAAATCTTGGACAGCACTAATTTAAATAGTGCTATAAAATGATTCTGCTCAGTTTCTGCCACCATATTCTGTTAAATAAACAAATTTCGTTATGTTGCTGGTTGTCTGTCGACAAAACAGTTTGTAATAGACTTTGGCAAAATCTATTTTTGATAGATTTCGATAAATTGCTGATTGGAATTTAATAGATGATAAATATTGAAGGATACTAAAAAATTTTTCTGGAAAAGGTGTTTTATCAGTTTTAAGAAAGTAGTTATTCATTGCAGTTCTACCGCATCATAATTTGCTCTTTTTATTTTTCTTTTCTTCGTGAATGTATACATATTTCTTGGTAGATCGTTCCTTTGACGTATACAAATCTTAGAATCGTCGAAGTTGTCAAAACGGCCTCTTTTTAGCTAAGCTTTTCGTCATGTATATAATTTGTGTTGTTCCATATTTGCTTTAATTGTTTCAACGGACAGTCTTAATTTCGCAATTTTATCTGTGCGATGGATTACGATATTTACGCTGATATTTTCTCCAAAGTGGCTCGTATCGCATTTGTCCTAACTGTTTAACCGGCAGTTTTGCGATTACGATTGCAATAAAATGAAACATACACACATACTCCTCTCTTCCAATAATATTTCACCTCGCGTTTGCTCTAACTGTTTCAACATCTTTCATCCTGTTGAAAGCAAATGAAAAGCAAAAGAACTGACGATCTTTAAACTGCACTCATCCGCAAAAAAACGGCCCATCATTTAGTACAATTTTTTAACATCTTTTAGTAACACTAACTCAACAAACATTGCATTGAACTATTATTTATCTTAATATGATGATTTTTTGTTGAATTATCACTATTGAAAGATATTAAGAAATTATGCTAAATTTTGGCCCATTTTTTTGTGGGTGTATGTACCAACTTCGGAAACTGAAGGTCCCGATATAGAATGAATCTCCTCAATTCATCCATCTTTTATAGGATGATGTTATGATATCGATCGATATACTCCGATATATTCCGCATAAACTTTATCTTCCGAGATGAGCGCGAATTTCGCTTACGCGCAAATCTCAAGAAATCATCTCTTCTGGTCAGCTCATTTATATACATGTTACATCTACGCGATAACTCGTTTATAAAGTAACAAGAGACGTATGTCATGAATTTTCTTCAGATTTTTACGAGACTTACAATTAGTCTCAACTGTCTTAAAAATAACTGCAAGAATAATTCTAAGCAAGTCTTTGTCTCTCTTTTATTAAACTAAAGGGAAAAAGAACGTTCGCGCGTCGCATGGTTTCTTCGCTTTTTTTTCCGGCGTGATCGGAAGTGTCGCTCGATCAGAACGATTAATTGTTTAGGGTGGGAGCATAGAATCTTGTATAACGCATAGATAATGTATAATGTATAAAGTATAAAAAAATGAACCAATCAAAATCCTTCATTTTGTTCCTTTTCACGAAATAAAAGATTCTAAACAAAAGATTGATTGATTTTCTTATGCCTTGTGTGTTATGCGTTATATAAAAATCTGTGCTTTAAAATTCTGCCTTTAGGATCTATCCAGAACAAATAAATTTGTCTAGCTGCATAAACATATACATAAAGGAAAAATATCCAATCATATTTCTATTGTAAAGACGCATGTAAAATGCGATTGGATGTTTTTTATGTATACATTTATGCTATGTAAATTTGCCTGGATAGACTCTTAAGAACGAAGTACAGACCTTTGCATAATGCATAAGAGAATCGATTAATCAGAGTTTTTTTTTAATGAAATGAAAGATTCTGATTGGTTGATTCTTTTATGCTGTATGTATTATGCAAAGCTCTGTGCTTCACTGTGCCTTTACTCTTCTTGGCAGAAATCATTGTAAGCGTACTCAATTAACAATCAGTCTCACGTTACGGGAGAGATCTTTGAAAAGAAACCGAATTTCCGACGAGAAGCTAATTTTCTCAATCGCTCTATATGCTACACGATTCTCGATTTTGTCTGCGGACACACTACGACCCTCTGCACGTGGTGCACATGGTATTTTATAATCGTTAGCGTATTTTACGATCACATCGATAAATGTCGTTTCTCAAAGAGCAATTATTTACATAGTTAAGGCGCTAGCCGCTTCTTATTCGGATAATCGATTCGTAAATACTATGTGTTATAGCGCACAATTACGTTCAGTTAGGACAGAGAAAGGAGTACACGTAACCCCTCTCTATCTTCTCAAGTTTTCGTTTTTTTTTCACGATGTTCTTAATACTATATATTTCTAATAAAGTTGGCACTATTCGAAAAGTGGAAAGCCGGTTTCATAATTGAATTGCATGGAGTGAGATCGAATCGCAGCACTTTCGTGTATTTCAAACCAAAAGGAATTTGAGAATCAATTTTTGATTGCCCCAAAATTATTAAATTTCGTTTCGAATAAATGCCTATTATTAGCTTCGAATTAATTGACCTATTTCTTATGGGGATAACGTGTAACGCTGCGACCGTTGCAGTGTTTTTATTAAAATCTTTTAAAACACAATACTCATTACGCGAATATAATCTGTCATTCCTATAATCATACATAGAATAGCTCGTTAATAGATAGATCGCACTAGTGAAGCGGAGGTACTCGTATGAAAGTTGGCGTTCACCCTGTATATCTGTAATTGGTCGTCGCGAAAGCAATGGATCGGTCAATCAGACTTTTTTTTTTATCATAATTACGTTTCATACGGTAAGACAGTGTAATTGTAATTCGGTGATAGAAAGAATAAATGCTATCAAAAAACGTACAGTTAATCATCAATGCTTCCGTTACTTCTTGATTGCTTAATTGTGTATATCGCCGATAGGATTTGGTGTTTTTTTTCTCTCGAAATTCGACGTTACACAATATCATACGTGGCACATACAGGGTTATATACGAAGGCCATATTTTGTGTATAATAACGGCAGTATTTGGCGCAACGCAGATCAATTATCGAGACGCCTCTTCGACACAAATGGACCTGAGAGTCTCTTCTTCCATCACTCATTCATCTCCATTCAAAATTGAATTGTCCTTCACATTAAAATTTCCCTCAACGGCAACGGATGGTTTTGAGAATAAGATTTGTCGTCTCTTTATAAATAATGTTAAATCGTCCGGCGAAGATACCAAGTCGAACCAGCGAATCTCGATCATACATGTATAGTGAATTCTTGTCTTTCTTGCTCCTTTCTTTGCTGATATCTGCAACAAATGATTACGTTTATATTCTTAAAAATATTTAATCAATTCTCTCTTTTTCTCTCTTACTAATTTTTAAATATCTCGTATTTCGAAAACAATTATATAATAATGAATTTCCGAAAATACTTAAATCAATGATATCTAAAATTTATTTAAAAAATTTCTTTCCTCGTCTTGAATATTTGATATTAACTACCTCAATAAATAAAAGTTTTATTAAATTATATTTATCTTGGTATTACTATTATTACATGTGAAAAAGAAACATTATTTATACACATTATATGAAAAACATCAATGTCCAAACAGTCATATATTCTTCCTCAGATTCTATTGTATGGCAGTAGTCGCCAAGATAATCTATAGATATACAAATAAATAAATTTCCGGGGATTAGGCCGATCTCAGCTATTTAATACTGGACTGGGCATGCTTGTTTACGGATACTCATGCCGATACCTAGCGAGCATAGATTCGACGGCCTCGATCGGAAGTCTGCCCAAACTGCCGCCGTGACGAGTTCCGGCTGATAAACCTTGCCATTCGCGATCGCGTTCGCGATCACGATCACGGTCGCACTCCACGTCGCTCAATTCGCGACTGTCACTGAACCCGCTTGGCGGCAATAGCGTCATATCCTCTACCGAACTGTCAAACAAATCAGCGGATACATTTATCGAGTCAGAAGAAAAATTTTTCTTTAAAGCTTGTGACACCGTTGCCTGAATTAGAAAAAAAATGATGAAACGCAACTCTAATTTAATCCGATTCATAATTAAATCTCTTATTCATAAGGTAATGTTCCATATAATGATGATTAATTTAATCTCATTATCACAAAAACATCTTTAATGTTATCTAAATTAAATAATAAATATACAGGATAATGCATGAAATGTCATACCATTTTATTACCTCGTTAAAACTATACTTCTAGAGTATTGATTTTTTAACTGCATCAGCAAATTCTATATTTCGTGGAAATTCTGTTAAGTGGAATTACAAGTTGGACTTGGACGGAGTTGAAAGCGTATACCAATTATGAAATGCACATGACTATACATTGTGGACGGACAGAAATGTCTCCGGGTCTCTATCACATTGTTTGTTCCTACAAAAAACAACACAACTTTCACTTTATGCTCACATTTTAAATCAACTGTTATCTGCCATTTCACAAACTGATGTGTGTGCCTTTACCTCTGCCAAATTATAATTTGTGATGCCACATCTAATAGAATTTCCTTGAAGTGCAAAATTTCACACAGTATAAAAAACCGATATTCTACAGGTTTAGTTTAATGAAATAATTAAATGATATAACATTTCGTACGCCACGTTGTATGTAAATATATATATATACGTAAATATGGGGAAAGGTTGTACACATATACATACATACATCTTTTATACGTATAAGGATAATTTATCGAGCATGTGAAGATTCAATTATATTTTTTAGAAAATGTTTTTATCTCCTTTTATGTAAGAGTGTAGAACATTCTCATCCTTTATCGTATAAAATATGAGGTTCTAGAATGAAGCGTAATAACGTGAAAAATCAATATATCATACAGTGTATATTATAACATATATTATCAAGATATATGCATTTTCGGAGTATATGTCACTTTTAATAATATTCATAAAATAAATATAAATATTTATCACTTGTAAAAAATTTCTAATTAATAAATGATTCGCGTCATTGCGCTTCTTTTCCGCGTCGATGTGAAAACGATGAGAGGCTGATATCGAATAGTCAAGACTGAGTGCTATGTGGAAACAAACAAACCTTGGCTACCTGCGAGTAGACCGGCTCGGCTGTCGGCTTCGTCGTCTCGCGAGTGAGGGCGAGCCTTCGTTGTTAGATTCCGTACTCGATTCGACACCTCGCGAAAATACATCTGTAAGGGATCACATTATTGTATGGAGGTTTATTCTCGCATACAGTCAGTTTTCTTGATAATTCATTTTCTAAATTCCTTTTTATATCGATAATCGATATACACAATTGTAAATGTAGAAATACATAATTGTACCTCTACAAGGCTTTACTGGCACTCTATAACTAGGCCCGGCGCATTCGCCGCAAGGGCTTCCGGATGTGTCGCTTCCGGAACCTTGTCGACTCGATCGCAGCTTACTCTCGGCTTCCGCGATGCTCGGAAAGTAACGTTGCTTGTGCCACCTTGGTGTTTTCGACCTGCGCGTCAAAGAACACCAGAAAGAGGAAGAGAAGAGGAAGAAAATGAAGGCGCAAACGGAAAATGGATCCGAGGGGGTAACCACTAGCTGAAATATTGTCCCACAGATTACATGATTTCATTTGATTACAA